ACGCCCAAACTAAGGGGAATGTAGGTTGCTCCGTTTCCCCCTCCGTCGAGTTGTTTTTTCGGAACCTCCAAAGCAAGGGGGATCTTATCCAAGATCCCCCGACAGCATGGTCTTGTTCAAGATGCCGCCACCTGGCGGTCGAAGTTCGAACGCCATTCCCTGGAGCGTGGTGGGCGGCGGGCACGCCATGCGGCAGCATGCTGGTTTTTTCGTTAGCAGCCCCGTGCAAAGGTCGCGCAGGCGCCTCACTGGCTGCCCATGCAGCCGCCCCTAAGGGACCGGTTGCGCCTCGAACCCCACTTCGCGGGGTGCAAAGTGAGCCAGGCCCAGCGCTTCTTCTCCTGGGGCGTTGCCCAGTAGTTGAAGCGAGCCTGCTTTGAGCGGAGGTCGGCGAGGGCGGCTTTGGCCTTGCCGAGCTCTTCCTGCAGTTCCTCGTTGCTCTGCTCCAGCTTCTCGTTGGCCCGCGCCAGCTGCCGCAGATTCTTGAGTTCGTCGGCCTGCCCCTGCTTCTCGCGGGTCGCTGCGTCGAGCTCCCTCGTGAGCTTCCTGTTCTTCTCGCAGAGAGCGTCGAACCAAGAGGTGGAACGAAGGGTAGCAATGGCCAGTGCATCGCGCAGACGCCTGTGCGAAGCAGCCTTGAACTCCGCCGCTGCCTCCTCCAAGGCTTTCGCCACCCACGGTTTGCCCAGGAAGTTTTTTCGCAGCCCTGACGCGTGCCCTGCCCATGTTGGCGATGCGTTTCCTCTCGAGCGCTGCCTTCGTCGAGGCTGGCATGGTAGCAAAAATGAACAACTTGAACCAAAAAGGGCCACGGAAACGATAGGACGCGAGAGCGAGCGCTAGCAGTGCAGAGCGCAACGGATTGTCAACAGTGATCCCACCTGCCCCCTGGGCGGAGGTGGCTCAGCGAGCCTGGTCCGCCCACCCCCCTTCTTCCCCCTCAACCCTTCCCCATGCGTCTGGAGACGAGGCCCCGCGACGGGTTGGAGCGCGCAAGATGGCTCCAGATGGCTCCGAGAGGGCCGCAAAGGGTCCAAGATGGTCTCCAAGATCGATCAAGATAGCCCAAGGCGGTTCAAGATAGCTTCGAACGAGCCTCGAAGAGGCGCCAGGACCGCCCCAAGACGGCTCCAAGTGGCCACTGAGCCTCTCCATGAGGATTCGGAAATGCCCAAGAGGCCTCCGCAAGAAGCATGTGGACGACAACCCTGTATCGCCCCAAGAGTGCCCCAAGAAGCTACGCATTGGGAGTCTCACTTCTCCTGTTCTTCCTACTCCTCCTCTCCCCTTCCCCCACCTCCTGTTCATCCTCCTCCTACGCGTTCTTCTGTTCATCATCCTACGCACTGCGCATGTCGCTCGAGGCAGCCCCATTCACGACTGCCCAGACATCCTACGCATTGCGCATGTCGCTCGAGGCTGCCCCGCGCCCCTCATTGCATTGCAATCCAATCGATTGCAACGCAATCGGATGCAATACAAACGATTGCAACGCAATCGATTGCAAACCATTGCAACGCAATCCCCACCCCACCCTTCCCTCCGCCCCCTCTCCCCCCCCCTCCCCCCCCCTCCACCCCCCCTTGCAGTCCAATCTTTTTCAATCGAAACGATTGTGATCCCATCGATTGCAACCAAAAGATTGCAACGCAATCGGTCGCAATCCACTGCAGTGCAATCCCCCCCCCTCCTTCCGCCCCCTGCCCTCCCCTCCTCGGAGGGGCCAGGGGGATGCAGAGGAGCAGGAGGGGGAAGATAATGGCGATGGGGAGGGTGCTCTCACGAGGGGGGGGGGGCCAGGAGGATGAAGAGGAGCAGGAGGAGGAATCTAATCCGTCGTTGGGGGGCGCTGGGGGTTGGGGGGGGGGGGGGGGGGGGGGGGGCGAACTATACATACATACATACATACATATATATATATACACACCTATACCTATACCTACACCTACACCTGTACCTATACCTATACCTGTACCTATTACACCTACACCTATACCTATTATACCTACCATACCTATTATACCTATACCTATAACTATATGTATACCTATACCTATACCTATACCTATACCTTTACGACCGTCTGGCGGGCGATAAGGAGGTTGGGGAGGACTGAGAAAACATGCCCGCCCTGACTGACCTCCAGCCTGTCCGGAGGGACGAATGCGCGCCGCGGGGGACGCCATGGCAGGCGGACGGAAGGACGCCACAGGGCGGCTTCCGGAAGGCAGGCAAGGGCGCCGAACGCTCGAGCCTCGCAGTCTGCGGCGATCGCGCCTTGGCGCCGACAAGATGGAATTGATGGATTGGGTTGGGTGGATTGGATGGGATGAGAAGGATTGGATCAGATAATATGGGTTGGATTGGAAGAGACGGATGGGATAAGATATAATGGATTGAATTATCCCGCCGCAGGCGCATCAAGGAATGAATTGAAGGATTGGGTTGGACGGATTGGATTGGAAGGGATGATGAAAGACGGGGCACGATGGGTTGAGTAAAATAGGATGGTTTGAAGTCGACAAGATGGATTGGATAATATAAAGTGGCTTTGAGAAGGAAGCCCGCCGCAGGCGCCGACAAAAGTGAATTGATGTATTGGGTTGGGTGGATTGGACGGGATATGAAAGGTTTGATAAGATAAGAAGGGTTGGATTGGAAGAGATGGATTGGATAAGATCGAATGGATTGGATTGGCCCGCGGCAGGCGCAGAAACAAATGAATTGATGGATTGGGGGGTGGACATTGGATTGGGTGGGGTAAGATACGATGGGACAAGATGGGCTGGATAAGATACAACGGATTGGATTGGACTAGATGGATTGGATAAGAGAAGCTTGGTTGGATAAGAAAGCCAGCCGCAAACGCCGAACATAAATGGATTATGAAATTAACGACATGCGTTAGCGCCGGGACGCCCGGGACACCTGGGACACCCGGGACACCGCCCGGCCCAACTGGGACACCTTCGGGCCACCAGCGGACGGGAAACGGACTTTCGCTCCTACTGACACCCGGGACACCCGAGACACCGCCCGGCCCAACTGGGACACCTCCCGGCCACCGGCGGACGGGCAACGGACTTTCGTTCCTACTCCGGCCTAGCTACAGGAGGATCACGCGCAGCTTCGCCTCGCCCGCACGCACGATACGAACACGAAATCGAAACCGATTTCCCGATGGGGAATATCCGCTTCACTTCGATCTCACCCCCCAACCTCAGATACATACATATATATATGTAGAATATAGACCTATACGACCACACTTCGCGTGATAAGGAGGTTCGGGGGGGGAGAGGAACAAACGTCGCACTCGATCGGTCTCACTATCGATTTCAGTATCGATATCAATATCGGTCTCGCTCGCTCGATCTCACTCGATCGATCTCACAATCGATATCAACCGATCTATTTCATTCGATCGATCTCACACTCGATCTGACGATCGATCTCGCAATCGATCTCACAACCGATCCCACGATCGATCGCACGACCGATCTCACATTCGGTCTCACTACCGATCTGACTAACGACATCACAATCGAGATCACAATAAAAGTCATCATCGGCATCAACATCATCGTCATCAACGCCATCAACATCATCATCATCATCATCCATCATCATCATCATCGTCATCGTCATCATCATCATCATCATCATCATCGGGGCACCATCATCGTCATTATCACCATCATCAACACCATCCTCATCGGGACACCATCATCATCATCGTCGGAACACCACCATCATCATTAGATCAACATCATCGTGAGTATCATCATCACCAACATCATCATCATCGGGACACCATCATCATCACCAACACCATCATGACCAACACCATCATCATCGGGACACCATTTTCATCGCCAGCATCATCATCATCACAATCATCATCATCCAGACACCATCATCACCATCAACATGAGCATCATCATCATCACCGGGCCACCGTCATTAAAACCATCATAATCAATTCATCATCATCCCCATCATCAACATCATCATCGGGACACCATCATCGTCGTCATCATCATCATCGACACCATCATCAGCGGCACACCATCATCATCACCATCATCATCAACTATATCATCATCAGCCTCATCATCACCATCATCATCGAGACACCATCATCATGATCATCAGCATCATCACCATCATCTGCATCATCATAAGAATCATCATCAAAATCATCATGATATTCAACAGCATCATCATCATCATCATCATCATCATCATCATCATCATCATTTCATCATCGGGACACCATCATCATCAGCAACATCAGCATCATCAACAACATAATCACCATCAGGACACCATCATCACCACCATGGCCATCATCATCACCATCACGATCACCAACATCGTCAGCATCATCATCATGACCATCAACATCATCATCATCGTCATCATCATTATCGGGGCACCATGATCATCACCACCATCGCCATCATCATCATCATCATCATCATCATCACCATTATCATCACCATCATCATCACCATCAACATCATCGACAGCATCATCATCATCATCAACATCATCATCACCAGCATCAGCATCATCATCATCACCATTATCATCATCGTCATCATCGGGACACCGACGGGGCACCAGCGGGACACCGGCGGGACACCGCGCGGCACCAGACGCTGGAAGGGAATCATTTGGTCCGGCCGCGCCTCAGCCGGAGGCGGGACATCGGTGGGACACCGCGCGGCACCGGTTGCGGGAAGGAAACCATTTGGTCGGGCCGCGCCTCAGCCACAGGAGACTTTCCTCTCGCCCGCCCACGCAGCTTCGCCTCGCCCGCTCGCACGGCACGAAACCGAAACCGATTTCCCGGTAGGGGAGCTCTCCTTTCCACTTCGATCTCACCCCCTCACCTCCGATATACGAGATACGTAGGACACGACGGATTCGAGACCCAGGTGAGAGGCAAGCTATTGGAACATACCTAAACCACAAGATAGGATTCCAGCCACAGGGGAGGGGGCAATGGATAGGAATCCACGCGAAACACTACAAGGCTTCGAGCCAAGGTGATACTTTGTGCGCCATGGGCAGCGTTGTGCTGCCCTGCACTGTCCCGCGCCGCGAAACGAGCCAGGCCTTGCCAGGGGACGCGCCGCGCGATGTGCCACGGAGACGCGGCACGGAATGTGCCAGCGGACGTGCCCGCGACGTGCTAGGAAACGCGCCGCGCGATGTCCCAAGGGGGCGCGCCGCGGGACGCGCCGCGGAACGTGCGAGGGGGACGCGCAACGGAACATGGCACAGAGGCACGCGTCACTGAGCATGGCACGTCCCCCTGGCACGCGAGGATAGGGTCCGCCCAGGGATGTTAGGAACCCACAAGTTGTCATGCTTGTTCCGCCATCTGCTCCTGCCCTGGTGTGCCGTTTTTTGTTTTTGTCTGTTTCTGAACCGCGCTGCCAATGGCAATGCTCACATCGGCCGCCCGCTAGCGCGAGAGCTACCCAAAGGGTCTCTAAGGGCCCACGCACTAGCGCACGGCACTACTAAGTCGAGCTGCTTTCTAAACCAATCAAAAGTATGCGCACGGGAGCTGCGCTGCTAGAGCTACGCAACCAAAGGGATGGGCGGTAGGACTTTAGAAGCAGACGGAGAAGAAAAAGAGACGAGAGGCAGAGAGAAGACGAGTTCCGCACAAGAATCTCACGGCCGACGGCTCAGAACATTCCGCATGCCACTTGCACACGACGACTCGGGGTTCACCTGCACGCGCCGCGGCAGTAGCCGGAGGTGTACGTGTTGTACTGGTCGGTGTTGTCCTGGGCAGGGCAGTACAGGTTCGCATCCTTGAGCCAGCACTGCTTCGTGGACGTCTGCTTGGACTGGATGAAGGTCCACCCCTGGCACCCGCCCGTGCTGCCGCAGAGCTGCTCGCAGCTCGATGCGTCTCCCGTATAGCCGGAGCCAGGCGAGCTGCCCATGTTGCTGCCGCCGTTGTTCTTGCCGGAAAGCGGCGAGGCGCACTCATACCCTGGACTCGGGGGGCTCGGGGTTGGGCCTGGGCTCGAGCACGCGCCATTGCAGAAGCCAGAGGTGTACGTGTTGTACTGGTCGGTGTTGTCCTGGGCAGGGCAGTACAGGTTCGCATCCTTGAGCCAGCACTGCTTCGTGGGAGTCTGCTTGGACTGGATGAAGGTCCACCCCTGGCACCCGCCCGTGCTGCCGCAGAGCTGCTCGCAGCTCGATGCGTCTCCCGAGTAGCCGGAGCCAGGCGAGCTGCCCATGTTGCTGCCGCCGTTGTTCTTGCCTGGGAGCGCCGGGGCACACGAAGACCCTGCACGTGCAGCGTGCGCCGCGATGCTCTTGCCCTGGCTGTTCCCCGTCTGCAAGAGGGCGGCCTCCTCCGCGCCGCTGCTGCAGCTCTCGTCGTCGCCTGCTGCGAGCGCCAGCAGCGAGAACGCGACGAGCAGGGAGGCACGCGCCATTGACCGGTGGAGGCCCGCGGGCACCGACCGGACGCAACTGGAAACCTCTTGGGCGCCTTGAACCAGAATGGCTACGGCTGCCCTGGTGTGCCGTCTTGGTGCCTGCTCCGCACCTGGTCGGCTCTGCAGCCTCCCCACGCGCCGCCTGCCCCGCGGCTGCCCGCCTGGTCCCCCAGCCTTTGCCCCCCGGGACCGGTGGCCTGAGCTCCGGCTCTCCGCCCTCCTCCACGCCTGCTGGCCCTCGGCGGCCCGCGCTGCAGCCGCGTCCTAGCTCCCAGCCCCTGGGTGTGGCCGCGGTGCCGCTCCGTGGCCGCTGCCAGGGGCGCTGCTCCGGCTCCGCCGCCCGTGGCGCCCCGCCGCGGCTCCCGCTGCGTGGGCGCAAACGGCCCCTCCTCGTTCCTCTCCTCCCTTCTCGCGGCCGCTCCTCGTTCCTCTCCTCCCCCTCTTGCACTAGGAACAAGGAAAGGCGACACCGACACCACCAAGGCGAGGAGATGCGAGGAGCAAAGGGGGGTCTCCCTGGTGGTGTGGTCCCCCCTCTCGCTCGAGACATCCCCAGACTCCAGCTCGGGGAGGCATTGCGGACCTCCTGGCTGGAGGTGCCCCCCCTGGTGGTGTTGGTGTCGCTTCTCCTCCCTCCGATGCATCTGGGCAGTGCGCAGTGCCGTCGTCCAGCCTGCTGAGCGCGCGTGCGGACCGCCTCTCTGCCGCGCTGAGGCAGAGAATGATCATGCCTGATCTGCTCTGGGTCGACATGGGCCCACGTGCGTTCGCGTCGGTTCCGCTCGCGGGCGGTTCGGGGTCCACGTGTTTTCACGCGTGCTCAACCCTCGGGCGAAAACGACCCACACGTTTTCACGCTGGCTCCCCTCGGGGGCGAAACGGACACTCACGCTTGTTCCGCTCTGGGGCCAAACGGACCCACGTGGCTTCACGCAGGTCCCGCCCAGGAACCCATGCGTTTTCAAGCAGGTCCCGCCCTGGGGCGTGTGGAACCCATGTGTTTTCACGCTTGTCCTCCCCAGGGGCGAACCGAACCCACGTGTGTCCACGAAAGGGGGACCCGCGTGCTTTCTCGCGCGCTCCGCTCTGGGGCAAAGGGGACCCACATGTTTGCACGCGTGTGCCGCTGTGGGACCCACACGTTTTCACGCTTGTTCCGCTCTGGGGCGTCAGGAACGCACGTGTGTTCACGCGCCCCCGCGTTCCCAGGACCACCCTGGCCAGCCCGGAACGCCGAAGCCCCTCACGTCTGCAAACCAAGCGGCTCTCCTGAGGCATCCTCCAAGTGCCTTCGCGCAGGACGCGCCATCCTCGTGCGCGCACGCAATGAATTAAGAAGTGCTCATTTCTTGCACACTCCAAGGCCTCCAGACCTCGAAATGTTAAAAACCTTCTGCGCAAAACGCTCCGCTCCGAACGGGGGGGGGGCCCATCCCGGATCCAAGAAGTCCGCGCAGAGCGCCAAAAGTTCATGTTCGTGGCCGCTTCTTCGTCTTCGGGTGAAACAAACGCTGCTCATTCTTTCAATGCGCTGTGTCTCTGGGCAGCTGCTGCTGGTCGTGCGCGCGAGGCCTGCGCTCCAGAGCTGCCGCAGGACGTCTCGCGGCTGCGGCCCCGCCTTGCTCCGTTCGTTTGCGATGCTTCGGCGGCGAGCGAAGGGGGGGAACTGAGAAGGAGAAGGCTCTCGGAAGGCGGCGGGACTTCTCGGAAGCCCTCGCGCCTTCTGAGGCGTTGTCTCTTGCTTTCGGGAGAAAGGCTTAGGAAACTCCTCAAAGGCCGGAGGACTTCCGAGCCTTCTGAGAAGGCCTTCGCCTTCTCAACTTCACCCCCTCGCTCGCCGCCGAATGTCTTCTGTGCGCCGTCTGCCCCGGCAACAAGCTCTGCGCAGCCTCTGACTCGCCATCGGTCGGACGTCCATTCCCTGTGCTTTTTCGGTTTCGTGCGTGGCTTTTTCGCCAAATGATCAAGGATGCTCCTCGATGGTCCTCGCCGAAGAAAAAATGCACACGTCCGAGCGATGCCAATCTGAGGGACGGCAGTTGCCCAGCAACCGCACGACCCCGGGCCGTAGCGCTCCCCCGACGCACAGCGGGCGCCGCACGGCCTCTGCGCACGCGCAAGTCGCCCTGCTTCGTGGGGCGGGGGGCCGGGACAGGCTCGGAGTGCTGATGCCAGGTCGGGCGAAAGGGGCGGATAGCAAAGGGGGAGTCTGATAGTCAGCTCACGTAGCTGATTTTCCCGGCGCCTCCCGGCGCCCGAGGCGGCTAGGTATCGAGGAATGGGCCCCTTGGTGAGGCCGAAACCGGCTGCATGCAGCAAATTTCGTAACCCCCCCTTTCCCAATCCCCCCCTTTCGTCTGGCCCGATGATGCCCGGGGACTGTGGCGTGCTCGGCGTATCTCGCCCACGCGCAGTGGGCCAACACCGGCGGCCGGACGGGCACTCGGTCTTGACCGTGCGGTCGGACCCGGGGCAGAAGAGCATCCTCCAGAAGCCTGAGACCCTCCGCAGGCCAAAACACCCCAAGCCAGAATGAAGATCACTCGAGAGTACCCTCCCCCAGGAAGCACAACAGGCACGAAGAACATGATAGGGCCCCTCCCCGACATCGATCTTATACCTCGGGCCAACCCAACTCAGAATGCTACTGACGCCACTGGAAGGAGAAAAACGCCGTAAACAAAAACTTTTGGCGCTCCGCGCGGAATTCTTGGATCTGCGCTGAACCCACTCCCTGGCGCGCGGAGCGCACCCAGGGCGGCGCTGGAGGCGCCGCTGGGGGCCCAGCGCGGATCCAAGAAATCAGCGCGGAGCGCCAAAAGTTGATGTTTATGGCGTTCTGTCTTCTTCGAGCCACGCCACAGACACAACGCCCGCAGCGAGTGCGACCAGACGCGGCGGGGTGCGCTCAGAGGGATGGCGTCAGGGTGGGGAAGGAGGAGGAGGAAGAGGAGGAGGAGGACGACGAGGAGGAGGGCGGAGGAGGGCGGAGGAGGAGGAGGAAAAGGGGAGGAGGAGGAGGAGGAGGAGGAGGAGGAGGAGGAGGAGGAGGAGGAGGAGGAGGAGAAGGAGAGGGATGGCGTCAGGGGGGGCGGGGCCCAAAGAAGGCCGGCTCCGCGCACCCAGCCGCGCGGCGCGCGTAGCGCGGCTATCTTCGCGCCCCTCTGGGTGACCTCAGCCTCGATCGTGGTCGATCCTCCTCGATCCTCAATCCCCCTGCTCGACACGCGATCCTCGACCCTCGACCCTCCTGCTCGGCCGCAGTCCTCGATCCGCCTCCCCGACCCTCGATCCCCGGTCCACCTCCTGAACTTGGGCACTCGCCGACCCAGAGGATGGTGACTTCCCCGATCCTCCTCGAACCCTGAGAATCCACGGACTCGGTCCTGAAGAAGAGGGTCCATTGAACGAACCCGGGGGCCTTCCCCAGGGGCAGCTTCCCATCCCGACCCACTACAGGAGAGCCCGAGAGCGGCGCGAGAGAACGCAAGCCTAGTTCCCGCCAGGGCCCGTGCACTGGCTACCCGACGGTGTGATCTGTTTCGGATCGGGCAGCAGATCTGGTACAAAGAAAGACGCCACCAACACCACCAGGGCTCGGAGATGCGAGAAGCACGAGGGGTGTCCCTGGTGGTGTGGTACCCCCCTCTCGCTCGAGACATCCCCAGACTCCAGCTCGAGGAGACATCTTGGACCTCCTCACTGAAGGTGGTCCCCCCGGTGGTGTCGGTGTCGCCTCTCCTCCCTCCGACAGATGCCCCGATCCTTGCCCTGGTGGTAGTTTTTAAGCCTTTCCAACTGATCATTCCCAGAGTGCCGATCCGAGAGATCCGCGCGGGACTCCCTGAAAGTGTGGGTTTATACCGTTGCTTCAAAAAAAGAAGCGCTTGCACTTAGAGGCTTGCCCCTGTTCAAAGAACCTGGGCCTGACGGTCGGTCTCTGGCGGCTATGTGGCCGCCGTCGCCGCCCCGTCGCCGCCCTGTCGCTGCCGGTCGTCTGGGCCTGACGGCCGGTCTGGAGGGTATGTTGCCGCCGTGGCCGCCCCGTCGCCCCCTCGTCGCCGCCCGTCGTCTGGGCCTGACGGCCGGTCTGGTCGCCGTGTGGCCGCCGTGGCCGCCCCGTCGCCCCCTCGTCGCCGCCCGTCGTCTGGGCCTGACGGTCGGTCTGGTCGCCGTGTGGCCGACGTGGCCGCCCCGTTGCCGCCTCGTGGCCGCCCGTCGTCGGGGGGCCCGTTCGTGGGTCCGGCGGCTGTCGCCATCGCCGCGTCGCCGCCGGGTCGCCGCCGTCAGATTCCACCGCATGGATTGCTTTGCGCTACTTCGCATTGCTTTGCGTTGTGCTGCATTCCTTTGCACGGCACTGCGCTGCGTTGCCTTGCTGTGCGCTGTGTTGCATCAGCTCTGCACTGCACGTTGCGCTGCTTCGCACGGCTTTGCATTGCGCGCTCTTACGTTTCATCGCGTTGACTTAGAAAACTACATGTATATGCATATGCATATGCATGTATATATATATATATACATATGTCAGAAACTGTATTGCTCCACATGAATTGCGCCACCTAGCACCACGCAGGTTACACCACACATATTGCACAACCTAGATTGCACAACTCAGATTGCACAGCATAGCTAGTTCGGCATGCTTGGCAACATGTAGACCACGTCATATTTATACATATACATACATATATATATATATATGTATACATATATATATATATATATTACACGACGCTGATGGCTCCGCATGGATTGCACCGCATAGGTCCTACCAAATAGAACTTTCTACACATCGGCCACTGAGAGTTATATTAAGAACCACTTATGCTTCTACATCGATCGTACCACAGAGATTGCTTGACACACACACACACACCAATTGGGGTCCACGCTGGCTAGCTCTTCTTTGGAGTCCCGAAACGGTGCAAAGACAGACAGTGCGGAGACCTCGAAATCCGCCCAGAGACCTCACCGCACGGTCCGTCACGGCACGGTCCTGGGACCTCCAAGGCCCCAGACGCCCGCGACGTCCTCGGAGAACGACCCGAGCCCCAAAACCGTGCGGTGACCCCGAATCCCCACCGACTCACCACACGGTGCGGTCACCACACCGGGGGCCCCCGAGGCTATAGTTAGGTCGGGCCCGTCCCCCTACAGGGGATTTTCTACGACAAATTAAAAAGAACCCAGAAGAATACCCCATAATGATCAAACAATACTCATAAAAAAAAACTCCCCTGACTATTTTGGAAATATGTTTGGCTATTTTTGTTGACCTAACAGCGAAGACTGATAGGTTTCTAGTAGGGTCAAAAGAGAGCATCTTGACGCCCCAGGGGGGTCTGGGCGCGATCCGGGGGAGGATGCCGGGGACTGTTTTTTAGCCA